GATGTTGTTCATACGCACAAAGGTACATTTCTGCATGTACTTACTAACCCCACGAAATGTATCATTTTGGCATCAACGACTCATAATTCTAGGTTTAAAAGTCTAAAATCAATGTCCCAGGCCCATTGAGGTCACTGTTCTAACCCTTGTGGATTGTGGACAATAAAATAATCCTAAATAATACCAGATTATATGTAAGCTTCAGATCTGAAATCAATCAAAACTATCCCAAACAAATATAAAGTTCATCCGCTCTGTGGATACCCCCTCCCCCATCATGGCTCATGGCAAATGAAGATGAATGTACACTCTTCAAATCTGTCAAAACATATTTCAGAAACTCAGATTGACAACATCATTTCATATATATATATATATATATATATATATATATTGGATGAAGGCACACTTTCCTTTTATCTACAAAATACAGTATAATTTAGGTAAAATATGAAACTATTTTACTTAACTATTCCCTTAAAATGAAACAAAAATATGGTAGAACTGTATACTTTATTTTACAGTCCTGTTCCGTGTGTAAATAGGATATACTTATTATAATTGCAATAACTGAGTAATAACTAGGTACTAACCCTGAACCTACCCCTAAAGCTACCCCTAACCCATGTGTTACCTCATATTACCTAGTACTTTCTTAAGTAAGTACACTGTAAGTACATGTAAGTGTGCATAATGTAAAATAAAATACAACCAAAAGTAACACAGTCTCATCCCAAGTCAGTCATATAACTGACGTCTTGGGACGTCTTTTGACCATACGTCAATATACGCCTTTTTAGGGCCCCCTTAAACGTCGGTAGATGGCGATCCCGGGCCGTCATACAACTGACACTTTACCTTTAACGTCAGTTAGGTGACGGGTTAGGTTTAGGTCTGGGGTAGAGTTAGGATCCCATAACCTCATCTACCGACGTTTAAGGGGGCCCTAAACAGGCGAATATTGACGTATGGTCAAAAGACGTCCCAAAACGTCAGTTATATGACGTCTTGGGATGAGACCGGGTTGCCAAAAGATATATAGAAAGACATATATGAAATTTAACTACACAAGATCAAAATCTAGAACCTTGTGGTTGATAATCAATGATTTAAGATGATAGCATATAGACCTTATTCGCAAATACCGGAAGTAGCTAACCGCGGCCATATTGTTGACATGACATCTGTCCTGCTGCCCTTAGCAGCGCACAGATTTGAATTGAGGGGGAGCTTCATCTCGTCAGTATCAAGAGAAGATAAACTTGATTGGTGTGTGGACCCACATCAAAATTTAATAATACCATTAAGTTAAGATCCGTCCTTATTGCCAGCCGTAACCTATCCGGATATTTATAACGATCTCGATCATACAGTATCCGTATGACGTACAAACTACAATTTACCTCAACAAGGCAACATGAACGACACTCGTGACATGCAAGATTTGTTGTACTAAAATGTAAATGCAAAAGAAAAGGCATGAGAGTCGGTTGTTTTTGTCAATTTTAAGTTTTCATTTAAAATGTTTGTGATTTTAATATAAGTACATGGTTACATATTTGACCACTTGCTTGAGCAACTTAATATATAGAAGTAATGCATGGAATAATTGGCTTACGTTGTTGAAATAATGAGTATGTGTTCAAATAAAAATAGTGAGTACCGGGGTGTTTGTGGTACAGCCGCGGATCACTTATGCACTGCAAAGTTTGGATATTATACAAACGCAGCATATTTAAAGCGCTCGCGTCCTGCTTCTGTGCCGTATAAACACCGCACACGCATTATATGTGAAACCTGTGGTAAAATGATAGGAACAGACTTTTCTGTGGGGAGTTGGCTGAAAGTTTAGCCTATTTATCCCAGCTAGCCTCTCCTGCACAGTCTCAACCCTGTCTTCTTCCCTTCACGTTTTCTGACAGTCAGTATCTTATCGCATAAAAACTAACTCTGATGTTCTTATTGCTGTTGTTAGAACAGCCGTGTATTACACAACACCATCACGCTGTTTAAAAAAAAAAAAAAAAAGTGATAATATCATGGATAATCTCGACGCTACCTGCAACCACTGCAGGTAGCGTCGCAACGCAAACACTGATGACGCAGATCGAATAAGGTCTATACAAGAATAAATACGTAAAGCGAGCACCATTTAGTTTTAAGCAGTAGCATTTGCAGGCTTTTATGTTCATCATAAATTCTGTGGGGGAACCAAAAGATGTTGGTAAGAGTAAACTATTGAACAAATAGAGTAGCATCAGCATTAAGTACTGCTGGCTGAAGAGTTAGCAGAGCAAATCTGAAATTCTAAAAAGCCACTTTGGATGCTAAGCTAATATGAAATGGCAGTTTTTTTGGATATGATGTGATGGCTGCAATATAGATAGTGTGGTTATTTAAGAAAAGCATTTACGTAACCACAGAGTCCATTTGAGATGGAGGAAAAAGCCTACTCGAAGACATGTAAATCATAACACTCACTGGCCATTAGTAAGCCATTAGTAGGCCTTAGTGAAATTGGGATATTTAAGTAGCTTTTATAACTGTGCCATAGAAAAAAATAAAAAAATCCTGGTGTGCCTCTTGAGACAAAAAATCGCACTGACATATGACGTCTTCGTTTAGCTTAGCTTCCTCCCGATCAAAAAAGACTGAATATATATTATATTATTATTATTATTATTTAGAATTATGATTATGCATTAATTATATAATTTTTATTAGCTACTTTTTTCCCATTAGAAATAATATATGTATATATTTTTTATTATTGAAAAAAAAACTTTTTTTTAATAAATGCAACTTTTCACATCAAAAATGAGTGCAAGCTGAAGGCAACAAAAAAAAAAAAAAAAAAGAAAGAAAAAAAAAAGGAAAAGAACCGCCATCCAGTGGCTTTAAAAATATATAAATGTGAGAAATGTCCTGTAATGGCCTGTAGGCTTCCTATAGCTTCCACATAAATACATCTTTTGATTCCTATTGTTCTTTTAGACATAATTTCTCTCTTATTTGTTTCGTCTTATTTGTGTCTTATTTGCACTCTTTATGTTTTAGAGTCAGTGGCTGATCTGTAGTTTGTACCAGCAAAATATGATCTGAGTTTTCCTATTTTTTTTCGTATTACCCATTAATTTCCTACACTCAAAAAAAAAAAATTGTTGAATGAACGTGATTTAAACGTAGCAGCCACTATGCATCTAATCAAATCAAGTAACTGAATCTTGAAGTCTGTGTGTGCCTAAAATAAAGATTTTTTTAAAACAACTTTTTGGAGAAATCCATTATACAGTATTATATTTAACATTCTGGATATTTATACAGAATCTCAGTTATACACGAACCAACAGAATAAATCACAAACATAAATTTCAAACGATGAATGTCATTATATGACCAACATCATTTTATAATTTTTTATCTTTGTTCATAGGTATAACTCAAAAATTAAAATATAAATTAAATAATATAAGGGTCAAGAGCCCAACTAAAGCAAACACGGATCTCCATAACGGTGACTTAAAAATGATGGTTTTCTCCTTCAGTGATTCTGCTTGTTAACATCAGGTGTCTTCATTAATGCTCAATCAACTACCAAACCAAGACATTAACTAGTTTATGTAACAAGGCAGAATCTTGTTGAATTTAAGTGCTTTACTGACATTGAGTGGATAAGAATAAATTTGATTAGACTAACACAATACAAACATTTTGATTCAATTGAGAAGAAGTTACATTGACATATTACAATCATGCTGAATCTACAAATGTATATTGTGTTCACATAAAATATTCAAAGTAGTTCAAGTTTACTTGATTCGATTAGATGCATAATGGGTGCTACGTTTAAATCACGTTCATTCAACAATTTATTTGATTAAATCACGTTCATTCAACAATTTTTTTTTGGTTGGTCATTTTTGACTGTGGGAGGAAGTTAAGTGTGACTATTTTTTTTTTTTTTTAACGACCCTTTAACATATCCAAATCATCTCCTTGATTTTTGTTTTGGTGTTCACATAGGTAAAACAACAAAAGTCACCAAGTTTAATCCCCCTCCGATAAAAAACATTTCCAAACGTAACAGTTTTCTGACATTTTTGACTGAAGAAGCAAGTGGTTAAATCCATAGCCAGCTTATGTTTTTGGTACGTATCCTAATGACAAAGATGAATTAATGATATTAAGAAGAAAGAAGAAGTAAATTTTCTGAACAACAGTAATTGTGTCTCTAAATAAGAAAATCAAAAGAAAATCTGAAACTGTCTATGGTGACAGAGAGCAACAGATGTATGTGCATCTTGTTCACAATATGAGAGGAACATCCGGGAACGTGAAGACTAGAGGGATGAAGTGTTTTATTGAAAGCTTGGAACCCGATAAAACAGCGAGGCAGGAGAGAAGAGTCAGAGCGCTCTTCAAAGCAGCTGAGCTCACAGAGATCAGTGGGCTTGAGAGCTAGTGCTGACCAGGCGCGATGAGAGGAATCAATGGGTGTGCCTCTGAGGAGCCAAAGAGGGTGAGAGAAGGTGGAGAAAAGCAAACACCTTACATTAATCTGTGTGTGTGTGTTCGAATGTGCATATCCACAGTGCAAAATCTGCAGAACTATACCATTTTATAAAAGGCAAGAAAAAATTTAAACGGTGACAGCAACAAAATTTGGTCACGAATGTGCGATCAGAATAGCAGGATTTGAAAAGAGACCAGGTGATATTTCATAAGCAGGGGGATTACTGACGCAGGTTTTGGGATGCTCCACGCATCAACGCCATGGTGAGAAGACAGAATAACACAGCAAGGACGATGTGACATTAGAAGAGATCTTGAGAAGCTGTGAAGGAACAGGTAAGGGAAGAGCTCAGAAAAAGACGTGTGAAATTCATGCAGGGAAGGTCACACATGCCAAAACTGACAACAGTAGAAGGAAGTGCAACAAAGAAAGATGCAGAAGCCAAATGAGGGGAGCACAACAATTACCATATCTAGATATATCCCAC